CTCACAAACTCAATAAAACAAAATTCACATTCTGTACAAGCGATGTATACTGTCACAAAGGAGACTGCATCAAGTGCGGTGTACAGTTTCCTGTCCTCAGGCAAACACATCATCAAGCCATCAGATACATCATCAAACACCACACGTCATGACATCAGGCCATCCCCGCCTTCGCAGCCACACACGGTACGAATACTGCACAACGTTAAACCGGACTCCCTCCCAGCCTCGCTCACAGCAGCAGCCCGAGCCGGGCCGGCAATCGGGACCGGCGTGTGGTGAGCGGCTGTGTGCACCATTACAGGCATCGTAGGTTATGGCACACATCACCTCCACTCTTCAGTACTATGCAAACACAAGGTATCTTGCATACTTCCCCAAACACATTTCGACCCCAGTGCGTGCCATCACCTCAAACTCTGTATTTGGAACGATTAGAACGACCTCAGACGGCAAAGGCCCGCTAGCCTGTAGCTAGAGCAAAATACTGAAAGGCCCGGACGGTTCTGCAAGAGGGCACCTGATGTACATGCAACAAAGCACTGGACCAAAGCACTGAAATGAGAGAAAACAACCTGCATAAGCACATTTCTATAGTGTGTCCTCTGTTTACTTAACTATGAAACTCGCCGTTTCCTAGCATCAACTTGACATGACATGTTCAGCGCCTCAGCACTCCGTTTTGCTCCACGCAGTCCTGCAGGGTGCGCGGCGCTGCAGCACGACATTGTCTCAGATCCCGCAGGTAGGGGTGGTCACCCCCTCCGTCCTTCAGAGGACCACCGGCAAGCAACACTGACGTCCACGAAATGGACAGCTCCTCCGCCTCTCCAACCGGAGGACGGGAATGGTGGACGCGCTTTTCCCCTGACGTAGTTTACGCTGGGCGTGGAGCTGGCTCTGGCGGACAACGGAGGACGTGGCGGCGCACCAGTCCGCTCTGAATGTCGACAGCGCCTCCCCTACTCTGAAAGCCGACAGCGCCTTCCCTCATGTCGGGCCTCGCTCAGGGTGATCGTCCAGATCCTGAAGAATGGACTCCTGCATCTTGCTTAGGAGATCCGACGGGATGCTGCGTGCACCGACCGTTGCGTTAGCCACAGATGGGGAGGCTGCGGGGCCTCCCCGTCTGGCCCCGCAGCCAGACGGGAGGCCCCGCAGAGACCACCGCGGGCGCCGAAAGGTCTGCCGGTCTGACGTTACGGAAGATCCACGAAGTCATCATCATCGCTGTCGTCATCGGTTCGGTCCCGTGCGTTTTCCGTGGGAAGCTGAAAGCTGACATTTCGGTGGCCTCCCCAGACGGCCGTGGCGTCAGCTCCATGACGAGGCTGGCCTGCGCCCTCCGTGTGGCAAACCGTGCAGATGGCGTATCACGTCGTCCTACTGAAGTCCACTTATTTAAAAATCGGCGTATTTCATTGGAAGGAGGTAATTTTCTCCTCCCAAAATTGTTCAATCTACAGAGACAACTGACTTTATTACGGCTGACTTGATGTTGACTAGCTATTACAGCATGGTCTTTTTTGTAACTGTTAGGTTGATCTTTCAGTTCTAAGACCCCGAATACGTGAAGTCTCCAATTGCTTCTGACTGTGGTACTTTTTTACTGTGGTACTGACTTTCTGACTGTGGAGTCCGAGACGTTTGAGATATCAACACGTTCAGACGTCTCATAAGCACCCACCGCAAGTATTCTTTGCAAAACGTAGTGCGGCTAAGGTGGGTACACGTACGACGGAACAGTTACTTGAGTACTAATGTTTTGAGTAATGCTGTTCTGCAGCAAATCACCTGGAAACCTTAAGGGTCGGGTCTTCGAAACCTTGCAGCCTAGCCGTCTTCCTTCGGGCAGACCTTTGAACACGCCGGCTATCGGACGTTAGGATGTAGGAGCCCAATGGACTACACTAATGACGTAGGACGTGTATTTAGGACGTGTATTTCTAACTGCGCGCCCGGTTGTGATCACCGATTCCTTTTGGCTTCTGTATCTCATGTAGTCATAAACTTTTTGTACCGGGTATCAGGTGTCAGAAGGTAAGAGCTGGAATGATTGTGTATGTTAGTATCGCTCTATTGCCGAGGTCCGCACAGACCTGGTAAATTTCTCATTTTTCTGTTTACCAGTCAGTGGCTGGGTCTAAGTCACAAATAGGTAAGTGATGTCACGAGCATTGTGTTTCAAGAAATTGTGATGTTGCAAAGGTAATTTTAGACAAACGTACCCCATACATTTTTTGCATCCAAATGATTTGAAAAATCAGTGCAAGGTGGCCTGGCCAGGGCTCTACACACGAGTGTGAAGATGAGCGCACATGTTTTTTGTAGGTGTCCAATGCACAGGATTTTTTTCAGACTGGCCGCGGACATTCTGTGTTATAATGACCTTGGTTCATACACCTATGCGTCACCTTCAGCCACTGGCCTTCGCACACTGATTTGTCAAATTTGCTAGCCGGCCAACACAAAGCCACCTTTTGATCAAAATGTCAGCATATTCCATTATATTGTTTGATGACAGTTGACATTAAAAGTATACATCATCGTGATGGAAGGCCCATTTACCATTTCTTTAATAATCCCCAAGCTTCTTTTTCGCACAAAGAAAACTACTGCGAATGGGCTTGGGACTTCCGTGTGGTCGTACACTCTGCTGTTATAAATGTGTTACGAAACATAATGATTGTCTAAAAGACAGACCAAGTCTAGCCAACAACACCCAAAACTTACGGATTATAAAACCAGCTTAAACAGACATTACCGATTCATTAGATCAACACCACCACAACAAACACGAAGAAGAACACAAATGACGTGATGCCGAAGTCGAACCTCGCGTTTTGTTTTTCAATACGTCGCTTGAGCGCCGCAAGTGTGGTGAAACATGACAAACCAGCCGCGATCCGTCAGCACTATTGCTCACACTCTTTACGATGGCTGCCTGGAAACGCATACGCGAAAAAATATATGCAGTAACAAATGAGTCGTTTTGCATGTTTCGCTCGCTCGCGCGCCGAGATAAACAACGAGATTATTTGTAGGTTAGGTTCATCAGTGTACGGCATATACGGCATCCGCATTTTTCGATTTAAAAGAAGCCCCGGTCGCCTTACATTCGTGTGCATTGAAAGCAGTTTTGTTTTTCCTTTGGACGACCGGGCTCCCAACACTTCTGTCTTTCGCCACAGCGAACGTTTTTGCTGCGTGTTTTTGCAAAACATACATGCGTCTGTTTTGCACCGCAGCCTGACCATTCGCCGCATTATATCGATCGCACGTGCTCCATGACCCCGATCTAACAAAGGACACAGTTTCTCGGTCTGGACAGCCGAGGGTATATTTATCATTGGTGTAGAGAGCACACAGAGAAGTCAGGCGGCTCGATTAACATGAGGGCGTGTCTGCAGGAATGACCCGAATGTGGAGTTTTATCTCAAATAAGCGCTGCTGGAAAGGTCGACGTAATAGCAGCGCCAAGGACACTAGTCGTTTCAGAGCCACAAGCGGCAGTTGTGAAGCTGGTTTGCTACTCTTTCTCGGCTCGGACGTAAACTTACCGCTCTAGCCGTCTTCCTGACCTCGGTGGCCGGCGCCGTCCGCCCTGGGTGAGGTGGGCGTCAGTAATGAGTGAGGTGGGAGCGGTGCCGCGGCTATCGTGCGTCCTGGGCGAGGTGGGTGTCCGTCCTGACTGAGGTGGAAGTGGCGCCGCAGCGGCCGTCCGCCGCTTGCCTCGGGTCGGGTCAGTCGGGTTCCCCATCGCGGCGCACAGGGGAGGGGTAGGGGTGCATGCAGTAGATCCAGGGCCGCCTGACTTTTCGATGTTTCCGCAAGACGCTCAATATAGCTCGTCCACTCTATACATTTAAGTTATTGCGCAGCTATTCTCGGCGGTTGGTAGATGGGCAGTGCAATGACCTTTCGCGTAGCCTAACATCCGTGGCATTGTCAATGGCGAGACAGCAGGCTGAGCGGGTCTTAACGTCAACGATGCGGAAAATGTGGAGCTAAGCGCCTGGGTCGGGCCCAGCTAGCGATGCTTTGGACGGGCTCTCTCTTCTCTTTATATTATCTCTTCATATGCACTACCACCAATAAATCTCCAGCTACAAGTAGCACGTATTCTTTAAGAATTGTGCAACAGTATTTTGGAAACAATTGGGCGTAGGTAATTCGATCAGGAACAGCGTTTCCGCGACAACGCAAAAAGGATTGTGTATGGATTATGTTGCACCTGGAGGAGAAAAAGGGAGAGGTTGACGGACCGTGGATCTACTCGTTTCAGGGCTTTTCAATTATTGATGCTAGATTCAGGCAAAATAAACGGGTAGAGACGTGAGAACAGCTTTATGGGTAAGCGGACATAATGCTTATGAATAATTACGCAAAAACAGCACTATCCGCCACATAGGCGCAGCAGCACGTATTGAGAAGTCACAAAGCCATCTTTCCCAAAACCGAAAGCAAATGCTGTAACCTACTGTGTGACAACCGGCTGCGACCTACCCTGTCTAAACCGAGACGGGTCGCGTCAAGAAGGATAGCTGCATAGTCTACACACACTCGTAGTCCAGTGGGTGGTAACCAATAAGCCTCCAAAATATCAGCGGTTCTCCGATACTACGAAGTCAACACAAACAAAAAACTTTTACAAGGTCATTGACCTCTGCGACTGAAGTTTGCATGCTTTGGCAGGCCAAGGCATGCCAATCCCAATGCTAGCTAATGTTCCAGCCATAGACATCAGCCATGGGTATTTTGTGCGCTATATGTATTGTGCGCAGACACCATGGGCATCAGAGTATCTTCGTTTGCCAAGCTCATGACAGCAGAAAGTAGTTGTGGGAATTTCCCCCCCCCCCCCAATCTGTACATTGAAGTGTGGATGCAGTGCGGTACGATTCTTTGCCTTTTACGATGCATTCAACAGAGCCTTGTACGCCGCTAGTGTACGCGTCAGCAAACCCATAAGAAATGACGAGTTTTTTTCTCTGTTGCAGATATCTATTTTAACATGACCCTTCGCCGGAAGACGTTGTTCTACACCGTGAACCTCATCATCCCGTGCGTGGGGCTCTCGTACCTGTCGGTGCTCGTGTTCTACCTGCCGGCCGACTCCGGCGAGAAGGTCGCCCTCTGCATCACCATCCTGCTCTCGCAGACCATGTTCTTCCTGCTCATATCGGAGATCATGCCGTCCACCTCGCTGGCCGTGCCGCTACTCGGAAAGTACCTGCTCTTCACCATGATTCTGGTCAGCATCTCTGTCATTTCCACGATCGTCATTCTCAACATCCATTACCGCAAGCCGTCCACGCACAAGATGGCGCCATGGGTGCGCCGCTTCTTCATCCACAAGCTGCCGCCATTCGTCCTGATGAAGGTGCCCGAGGAGTCGTCCACCACGTCCCCGTTCGAGATCAAGCCCAACGGCTTCCACGGCTACCAGCGGGCGCCCACGGACCTGGATGAGGGCGTTCGACTGCATGCGCTCAACTACTTCGATGACGAAAAGAAGTACCCGTTTGAGATTGAGCGGGCTATTCAGAACGTCAAATTCGTGCACCATTGCTGGAAAATCCAGGATCAGTACGACGAGGTAAGACTGATGGCCATTTTCACGCTTAAAGGCCGGCCTCCTAAGCTCCACCGATGGCTGTATCGGCTTAATTAGTGACTCTGACATGCGGCGTGCCGAGTGTACGCAGATGTGGACATCGTGTTTGGATTTTATGGTCTTTTTTCCCACTGCTTGAAAGCAATGTTCATAAGTGTCTCCGTCGACATCAAAGTAATCTGCATGAGCACGTTCCGAAGTGCACAAGACTGCATGTGCACAAGCAGCTTCTGTCTCTGAGCGAAACTTAGGGCCGTCGGTCGGTTCTGCGCACGGAGAGAAATAATGAAGCGGTGCTGACTGAGCGCTGCTCGACCCACTGGCAGCGGTCACGACAGCATTTCTAGATAGCTCGCGTCCGTTTCGCAGACACAGGCGCGCTGACCGAACACCTTGACGCATGACTGGGTGAGCGGAGCAGCTCTCTGCTGTCGGTTGTGGGCCGCCCGCCAGGTCGAGCCTGCTGGCTATTTCCAGCCCACGGCGAGCGACAGAGCGGTCCGGGCCTTCTGCGTCGACCGCGACCGCCGACCGCGAAAAGTTACGGCCGTCCAGCCTGTAAAGCATACGAGTCGTTAGTATGTCTGACGCCCGCACAGTCGCCGTCCGCTCTGAGTGGCAATTGGACTTTCTGGAAACGCGGTACGGCCGGTGGGGCCCTAGAGAATGTCTTTCAGAAGAGCTGCTGCTCCTGCGTACAGCTAATTTGCCATATGCGCACGCGGCGGTAGTAATTTCGAGAAAGCTACCACTTATGTGAGATTGATGTAGATCTGCGTAAATCTGTCATGAGAACCGGAGGCCTAATCTGCCTATGTTGACGTTCAGAAGGCCACAATGTCAGTAACCACCGTTGCTGAGGATTGGTATATTCCTCCATTATCTGTATAAGGTGATGTTGGTTGCCGTCACGTGATGAAGAGGTCGGGTTCAGTGGGTGGCTTTAACTTATCAGGAGATCCTGTGGATTCTGCTTGCACTCGTTAATGCCACCGTTGGTTATTGAGCTTTAAGGGCGCGTCAGTTGCCCTTGTTGTTTGCGCCTCGTCAGTGTACCCATTACTGTAGCCAGTGGCGTTGCCTCGGTCACAAGGCATCTCGCGTACCCGCGGGGAGCGTGCCGGCGTCTCGCGGGTCCGCGTGGCGGGCTACGGCGTCGGGTTGCACTGCCGCCCGGGGCGGCCGGCGGCGCAAGCCAGTGCCGGTGTCGGGCCGGCGCGTGAGAGTCGGCCGACGCGCAGGCAGCTGGCCGGCCGTGCAACAGCGCGCGCTCGTCGCTATTGATCGCGCCGGCCGACCATTGCAGGAGGACCAGGACTGGGCGTTCATCGCCATGGTCATGGACCGCGTGCTGCTGCTGATCTTCAGCGTGGTCTCGCTGCTCGGCACGTTCGTCATCCTGTGCGAGTCGCCGTTCCTGTACGACACGACGCCGGCGATCGACATCCAGCTGTCGGAGGTGGCGCACCAGATGGACATGTTCGGCGACGCGTGAGGCGGCCGCCCCTGCCGGCTCGCGCTCGTCGCCGGCGCCGCGCGCGCACGCGCTCCACACCGGCGTGACTGACGGGGAAGCGTCCGCGATGGGCGTCAGTGTGAACTGCTGACGTCGGCACGCGTCCCAGTGACGTGGTTGAAGAGATCACAGCCCAGTGATGGCGGCACCAGTGCTGCGACCGCACCTCAGCGCCGCCGCTGGCGGGATCAGGCGGCGGCGGCACTGGTCACGCAGACGCACGTCAGTGACGTTCGGACGCGGCGGCACGTCAGGCAGGCGCCGCAGGGGGCCCGCGTGGCGCTGCTCGGCGGCAGACGCGTCGTCGCGCCCCGTCACACCGTGACCCGGCCGACACGGCCGTCACACCGGGACCCGGCCGTCACGGCCCAACACGTCGGGACCCGGTGGTCACGGCCACATCGCTGACGGCACCGAGCACGTGCAGACGCTACCAGTGACATCAGAAAACTGGGTTTATATCCATTATATTGGGTGACTGGCTAGTGTGTTTTGCGTGAGTAGGGTGCGCTGTGAGCTGATTGAATTTCGTACGGTGCATGGCGTCTGCATGCTTTGTGCAATGTTCTGCATTAGGGGGGATCCTACGGTGGTTAGTGCGTGCCAGGAGCAAGACGTGACTTTTGATCGGCCTTTTCGGCCAAGAATTCGAAAGCAAAATTGAGCGTTTGTTCGATATCGATCAGTGCAGACCCAGCCTTATAAAAATATGACGACTAGATGAACTATGCATATCAGTATCGCTCGTGTCTGCTGCGAAACTGAACTTAAACGCTGCCGTAAACTACGATCGCCATTATAAAAGGCATATTAGCCAATTTAGCGTGATTTCCACAGCAGCGTGGATTCTTTTCAAAAAATAGCTTTCGGTTGGCGAGTTGTGAGTTACACACCAAGTGCACACACAGACACCAGACATTGAACACATATTATTTGCAGTGCATATTTAACGGACAAAACTGCTTGGAATTGAACTGGATGACGTCGAACTGCATATAATTTAATTATGCAGAAGATTCTTCGGATTGTTCAGCCGTTTTTCCAGCGCTTTGCTTTTATAACGCCATAATGTCATAAATAGTTGGCTATCAAATGCAAACAGGGCCGAGATGAGCTCAATGAACCCCGATTTTGGTGAAGCAGGGAGGCCGGAAAAGCGTCGTCTGGGTTTAAGGACAAAAGCAGGGGGGCGTGATCTGCCTGCAGTCACGTGGCCGGCACGGACACAGAGCGTGGCGTACCATAACAGCAAACCGAATGTGGGCTCCTTACCAACAGTGCATATAGTTCTTCAGGAACTTCTCCTCCCAACTAAATTGCAACTAGCTCTTTTACAATGGCTTGGTTGCTTGATACATATCATATTTTTGAATCACTGGAAGCATAAATTGGTTTGCGCTCCGTTGAACTCGACGTAGTTATCGCGCTGTAATCATTGCTAGCAAGCCATCTCATTGGCCAGCTCTGCTGGCCAGTTCGCCGGCTGTACGAAGCCTCACCGGTCGCTGGCGTGGTCGTCATGGTCTGGACAGAGAGGCGGAGCGCCGACCGTCGATGGCGCAGATACACTGATGGCAGAGCGCCGGCCGGCGATGACGCAGAGACACCGATGGCAGAGCGCCGGCCGGCGATGACGCAGATACACTGATGGCAGAGAGCCGGCCGGCGATGACGCAGAGACACCGATGGCAGAGCGCCGGCCGGCGATGACGCAGATACACCGATGGCAGAGCGCCGGCCGGCGATGACGCAGATACACCGATGGCAGAGCACCGGCCGGCAGAGACACCGATGACAGAGCGCCGGCCGGTGATGACGCAGAGACACTGATGGCAGAGCGCCGGCCGGCAGAGACACCGATGGCAGAGCGCCGGCCGATGATGACGCAGAGACACCGATGGCAGAGCGCCGGCCGGCGATGACACAGAGACACCGATGACAAACTCCGGCGACGACGCCGCGTCTCCGAACGCCGACGCCGCTAAAAGCCTCTTAGCGCCGCCGGGGACGACCTGGCCTCGACCCTAGCCGGGCTGGTCGGCGAGCTTCTGAGAAGTGACCGCGCCACAGACGCCGCTGCTGTGCCCGGGCGGCGTCAATGGCGCAGAGCCGTGTAGACCACGCACAGGCCGGCTACTGAGATTATGCGTGCGACCATAGCACGCTCAGCGTTAGTTGCTGCGGACCTCGGTGCTAATGGCCGCTCTGGGAAAGGTTCCTTGAAACAAGGTTATTACCAAACGCAACTCCATACCACACTGACGGTTTCGGAGAGATGTGGCTTTCCCCGACGACAGGCCGAAAGATGATCGCAGTAAGTTGGACATTGATACGCACTTTCACGTTCATTCAGTCCTCATCAGTGACTCGCTACCGGCCTGCATTCACCCTAGCACCAATTACTGTCGCCTGTCGATGATAAGCCAATCATGGCACGACAAACGGCCCCGTTGCGTGGCATTGGCAATAACCGGTGGTGTAGTTCGTGTGGCGTCCCGTGTACATCTGGCGCCGGCCATGTCCGCACGCCTGACCGATTCGCGCAGCGGTGTGACCGGTCGACACTGCCCGGGGGGGGGGGGGGGGGCGGGGGGAGCCATAGGCGCCGGCGCAGCTGTCCGCTCACCTGTGGGAGTGATGGGGCGCCCGCGGCCGTCCCGAACCCCACGTGAGACGCCAGCGTGGGGCGGATTGCTGTCGCGACGCGCTGGGGCGCGCGGCGCACCGCCGGGCGCGGCGTCCTTGGCAGCTCGGCAGCCGGAGAGTTTAGCGAACTCCGAACTCACGTATGATGTTACGAGACCGTTTAGCTTCTGGATTGTCATTTATTTTTGTGTGTTAATAAACTGGATGTTGTTATGGCGTGCGGTCTGTGACGACTGCAGCGGTACTTTTGTTGGACGTGCTGACTGGCAACCAGCAGTCTCGAGGTCCCCTGTGGTACCCGTCCATACGAGGTGCGCCTGCTCTATCACACAGCTACCTTCAAGTCGGTCTGTTTTCAGCACATTCGAGCGGACGATGAAAATCAAAAGCCTGCCAAGCATGCCGGAAAGAATATCTGAATCGCCCTTTAATGTTTGAAGTGTGGCACGTTTAATAGCGGAGTAATACATCACTTTGTATTACATAATGGTTTCATGGAAGCTGTCGCGGCCGCTGCCACACCAGCCGCGCTGCATTCGCCATTTTTCTTTTTCCATTTTTTTCCGTTTCATCATTAGTCATGTCAGGCAGTCGCCATCTGAGACACACATTGTGTTGTCATTCCTCCGGCACGCAGTCTGCTCGGATGGCGGCGCACAGCAGCGCCGCCGCTCGCCGGCCGGGCGTGACGTCCTCAGGACGGTGCTGCCCAGTCATCCGGTCACCGCGCAACACCGAATCACCGGCGGAAGTCTATCGAGAATCAAGTTGAGAGTGGTGGGTGGCCTCCGTTGGGAGTCACAGAGGCGCGCTCGGCAGCCAGATTTTGTCGTTTGACCTCTGACATATGCAGAGCGACCGACAGCGGCTCGATTGGACGGTGTCACGGCCTCCAGCGAGCGCCATCGGCGCGGCCGTCTCGTCAGTTCTGTCCATCGGCTTGTAACATCTCCCCGTCGGCCAACACAGCGGCCCTCATATCAAGACGCCCCGCCTCCCTCTTGGGTTTCGGCATTTGCAACATGTGGACGGCCCTCTATCCCAGGCGAGCAACTCCCCGGCAGACGTGCAATCGGCGCGATGATCGGTCTGGGGTGCCAGATCAATACACCTTGCTTCAGAAGCTGCCTGTTCGCCGGCCGCGCCTGGCCGCAGGCGGGGCGAGCCGGACTGCGGACGAGACAGATCCACGCCACGAGACGGCTCTACCTCGGTCCGTTCCACCGCCAGGCGGGGTCGACGTCGGTTGGCGGACATACATCGCGGCCGCCGCAGGCCAGCGCCGGTCGCCATGGAGGTCTCGGAGGCGTGTTCGTCTTCGCACCGCAGTAACGGGTCGCCACGCCAAACACACCACATGAAAACGTTGTTGAAGTTATTTGCGACATGCTTAAAAAGATTGGCGGCATGCCAACTGCTAGGTTAAAGGGAATGTTTCACATTTGAAGATACTGAAGCAAGCATCAGATGTGATGAAACAAGCTCGCTTATAATTATTGGCCTGCATATAAGTGGAAAAGACTGCATAAGACAGCACAATTCTATGTTTAGTAAGTATGCTCCTCAATGCGGCATGGTTTGATTACGTCATCGTACCTTGCACAACATTAATTAAGAGCCAATTCACAGCAGTTATATCTGGCAATGGTGCTCACGAACGCCAAATATGAACACCTCGACAATTATATGTTTATTGGCCTTGTTCGCCGCATGGCTTTTGCAATGGCAGAATTTGAATAACGTTATTATGACGTCATGAATACCAAGGCGACTATGAGATATTCTCCCCGATGAAGCTTCCCAATTTTCGCGGGCATCTAGCTCAGCATCTAGAGGGCCCTAGCTCTTAAGAGAGGCAGGATTTTGAACAGCACCGAAAGGTCTTCAAGATGGCTATTTCAGTTCAAACTCCCATAGACGTGTGAAACATTCCCTTAACTGGAACCATGGCTTTCTAAAAAGCGCTCCAATTTCATTTACCCTAAAATACGCTGATAGCAATTTTTTCCACAAGCAGGTTCTAGCCCACACCATTTTTCACACTTTTTCACTACGTTGACGGACAGGAGGTGGATACGACTTTCCCACACCGTTTCCAAATTAAGACCGATAGAACCTCACAGAAAAGCCGGAGATTCGCGATTGACAAAAAATAACATGTCCCTAGGCCACTAACTCGCCCCATGGTGTAGGGCTAGCATGTTAACAGGTAAACAAGAGCTCATCGGTCAAAGTTCGGTGTTTCTGGAAAATCGCATTTTTCAACTGTTCTTGCTCACATTTCACATATCCCGGCCATATAGCGACATGAATTTCAGACACGTTTCTTGTTTAATTCCATGAGCATTTATGAGTATTTTAATGT